GCCGGCGTCCCACCCTCTGCCAGCCAGGCCGGCGTCCCACCCTCTGCCAGCCGCCGGCGTCCCACCCTCTGCCGGCCCACAGCTGAGCACTGGCATGTGCTCCTGGGCCCCAGATGCCGGGTCGCTGTCGGCCCCTTTGACAGCGTTGAGCAAGGGCCCCCTGCTGATGGCCGAGCCCCAGACCCCACCATGCTCCTCTCCCCCCACTGCCTCTGGAAAGACCCTGTGGCCTGGGGCCCCTGCCTCGACTTCCCTGAGAGAGATCCTGACAGCGTGCAGGGTCTGGGGGCAGGGGGAAGGGCTGGGATAGTGGGGGAGGGGCCAAGGGGCACCCACAGAGCCGAGGGTGGGATAGTGGGGGAGGAGCCAGGCCGGGCCCCCCACTCCCTGCCAGCGCCAGCTGGTCCCCCACCTTCACCCCCGCTGGGCCAGGACGGGTCCCCCACTTCCCACCAGCGCCAGGTGATTCCTCCCCCCACGCTGGGCCAGGTCATTGCAGCAGGGTTGGGCTGGGCAGACGCGGCCCTCGTGGGCCAGGACAGGGACACTGACCTTTCCCCCCACCCCCCCAGAACAGGGTGTTCATTTACCGAGGCAAGGAGTACGAGCGCCGGGAGGACTTTGAGATGCGGCTGCTGACTCCCTTCCCCTACGCCGAGAAGCTGCAGACCACGTCCCCGCCGGAGCAGGACGTCACCGACTCACCGGGCCAGTGTATCCTCCCCGTACCCAGCTCCGTGGCCAAGGCCCAGCTGTCTGGTATCCCGGTGTAACCCACACACCTCCTGGGTGCGAGGCTCTGTTGTAGGGTTACCATACGTCCGGCTTTTCCCGGACATGTCCGGCTTTTCGGCAATCAAACCCCCGTCCGGGGGGAATTGTCAAAAAGCCGAACATGTCCGGGAAAAATACCGGCCGGGCACTTCCTCTCCCGCGGCTGCTGTGCTCCTCCCCTGACTCAGACTTCGGCTCTGTTTAAGAGCCTAGCTGCCCGAGCCAGTGCGCTACCGGCTTCGGG